GTAGAGGAGGGAGGCCTCGCTGAGGGGATGAGGGGCGGCGGGAGGACCGCGCGTCTTCCCCGATCCGGGGCCCGGGCACGGCCGTGCGGGCTCCGCGGGCCCACCGCTGGGACGGCCGGCCGCTCACCTGTGCGCCGTGCGGCGGGGAGCGCTGCTTCTTTCCGGGGGGTTTCACCTGCCGCAGCACCGCGCTCGGGTGCTGGCAGAGGCGAGGACAGGCATGAACGTCCGAGTTTGTGCCAGCAGTCCGGGGGCTTGCTTCGTAAACTTCTCGGTGGAACATGGCGGAGCACGTCCCGCCGTGTGCTGTCCAACCGCCTGAAACCTCAGCCACGTTCTGTCTGACCTCCCGGGACCTCGGGGCAAGCAGCTTTGTCTGCCTGCTGCTGAAACTTGGAGGAGACCGAGTGCCCGCTTTTAGGAGCCGCAAGTTGTGTTGATTGGCCACCACGGGACGGGAGGCCTGTGGCCAAACGCTGTCTGTGGGGAGGGCATTTTGCCCCTGCTGTGCTGAGCCCCCCCCCATCCCGAGTCAACCTGGACGGGAGCACCTCATCTTGAGTTGCTCCTGGCGTGTGTAGACATGGCCGATAATGAAAGTAAGGATAACATAGCTATTTTTAGTGTCTGCCATTCTTTGAGATGTTTTTGCCCCAGTGCAAGTTTTTTAACAAAGAAATACAAAGTGTATTGTGTCCAAAAAGAGCGTCATCCCTGTGACCAAAGCCTAGGAGTTCCTAGAAACAGCATCCACATGTGGAGGGCCAAAGGGCTTTGGCAGGGCTGGAGTGTGGCCTTTACAAACAAAGCACCACTAGCGTTTTCCTCCCTGTCTCTCTGTCCCAAAACGTGATGTGATGGTGAACTTTGTACTGAGAATGCTGTCTATCCACGGGGCAGCCCGCTGGGCCTGGCTGTGCACTGGCAGTACTCCAGACTGACAGAGGCGGCTCTGCATGCACAGGTCCCTGCATGGCCCCTTCCATTTCCACCGCACCATGCTGCAGGCCAGTGTGTGCCTTATCAAAGCTCTCCAAACTGAGGACTACAAATGCCTCAAGCTCTCTGTGCCCTGCTGAGGGTAGTGAGACATTACTACTTGGTTGTGTCATTTTGCTCCGGAGTAGATGAGCGGTGTGTGCTGATGACATCGTGCTGCTCTGTAGCTTGCCCGTGTCTGTGCATCACCATATGCGTGGCCCACAGTACTGTGTTGATTGATCCAAACAGAGTTTATGTTCCAGTATCTACTCAGGCATGAAATCTCCTTGCCCACTGCCTTCAGAGACCATTGGGGATGATAGAAGGCCCGTGACCACCAGGTCGGGCAGAGTGGTGGGAATTCTGCAGCACTGTGCTGCCCGCTAAGCAAACCTCATTAAACACTTTCAGTTTTGTCCTTTTCTCACTGTGAAAAGTGAGGAGCTGTAGCACTACGAGTTGCTGAAGTACAAAAGAGAAATTATTCTGTTTTGCCTTTTCTTTCTGCAAGGGCTTTTGCTTTCTAATTTAGTCGGTGAATTTCATTGAAGCGTAAAGTACGATGTAAGTGGATGATAGGTACTGCCACATCCTTGGGCTGAGGTTAGGTTTCCTTTGCCCTCAGAAACCGAGATGCTGACATGCCCGTGACAAAGGAGTAGGAATACCCGTTGTCAGACTGCTGGAAAATGTTTGGCAGCAGTGTGAAAAACGCGAAACTTTGCAGATTCATTTAGAGCCACTGAGCTTCACACCGGGCCTATATGGCAAACTTCTGCTGGCACAGCTCTGTCTGCGAGCGCTGTGACGAGGTGTGACCCGTGACTGACATAGCTGTGCCAGCAGAAGTCCCTGCTGTAGATGCAGTTATCTGCAGAAGTGCGCTTTTACTGATAGGGCTTGTTTTCGTTTTTAAGGGTGTTTTTCCTCGTAGCGGTGGCGGTGTCATTGCCAGCAAAGCGCAGAACCTTTAGGGTGAGAGGAGTTGGTGTGTCTGGCTCGGAGGGGACACCACCAGCCTGCGCTCTGTGAGGGCAGTTCTCCCCACCCCAGGTATCAGGAGCTCGGGAACGCCTGCAGTAGCAATTCTCTTGCTGAAGTAAGTGGTGTTATGACTGCTCCTTGTTTTCTTTCCTCACAAGGATCTTTGTAAAGCTTCATTTCGGGCGATAAGCTGGTGTTTTTTTTTTTATTGTTTGGATTCTGGCTGTTTTTCCTTACTGGACTTGCTTTTATAAAAAGCAGGGCAGCTTTGCTCTGAGCCTGCCAAGTACAGCAATATTCTGCTCTCACACCAGTCCTGTAGAAATCAGCCAGAACACGATCCCAACGCATCTGCGGACTGTGGAGGTAAAATGAAAGGGAGCCATTGGAGAAAAGTTATTTAATTTGCAGACTGGGGTGAGTCTTTACTTAATTTAAACCTAAAGCATTGCAAAGAAAATCTTGCATTGAGGTAGCTCTCTGCAGCTGCTGTCTTGTTCAGAGTCAGTGTGCCCAAATGGGAAGGTGCTTTTTCTTTTCTATTTTTTCTGAGAACATTTTGCTTTCAGTGGTAGCATCGATAATAAGCACAACTCTTGAGCAAATTTCCAGTAACAGAATAGAACTAGTGCTTAGATCAGCCTTATGGAGACTTTTAGGTTGCTGAAGTTTAGAAGGGGGATACATACAAATAAATAGTTTGCTTTCTGGGAAGAGATCTGTGAGTTCAGAGGGCCTGTGAGGCATTGGGTGTCACCCGCTCTGCTCCAGGAGCCAGCATCGTGTTGGATGCGTTGTTAGAGAGCATAAGACAGCACTCCAGAGGCCTTCAAAAACTAAGTTAAATACCTCTTATGCATACCTTCTGAATCTAATTCAGGAGGATTTGCTGTGGATTTGCTACTTAAAGCGTTAAATACTAAGCCTCTGCTAATTTTTTTTTAAATTCAGTGCTTCTTTTGACAATGGCCTGTAACAAAGCTTGTGTGCTTGTTAACTGCTTCACTTCCTTCGGTCTCGATGGCTCTTGAACATGCGGCCGCCCTCCTCTGTGTTTGTCTGCGTCCCACCAGCGGCGCAGGCCAGGGGAGCGAGCTGCCTGGGTGCTCCTGCCTGAACACAATTGCCTTTGTCAGGTCTTCCCTCTATTCCAGCCAATTGCGTAGAAATTGCGAGTAAGCCTAAGAGCTGTGAGTTCTCCCCCATTTATCAGGTTGTAAATTAACTTGGGTGTCAAAATGTGCAGGCTATTTTGAGAGGCAGCTGCCTCAGCCGAGCTGACTGCGCCGTGTTGGTGCCAGAAGGGGAAGTCCTGCTTTGCTCCCAGCCCTGACACGTGTCAGACCCTGTGCTGAACCAGTTTCCCTTGCTCACCTGGCGGCAGACAGATAAACAGCATGGGAGGCAGAGGCTGCCGGGTGCTGTTAGATCATCACGAGGTACCATGTAACTTCACCTACTGGGGAAGCCTTTGGCTCTCATGATTTGTCTGCACAGCTTCTGCATCTCATCCGTACTAATAAAAGCAGACGGTGTTTTAGGACATTTCTGTATCAGATGGCAGCATTTCTGCACCTTAGAAGACTCATACATCTCAGGTTAATGTCAGTAAACTTCACGCATGTATCTCCCATCTCCCCTGAAAACAAATAAAAAGTTCAGAAGGGACAAAGCCAACTTTTGAGTATCCTGTAGGAGATGGCAGAAAGACTTTGTATGCAGGGGTTTCACTGGGTCCATTTGTGCCTCTTTCAGGAGTGCCTTGGAGTAGACCTCGAGGTGCAGAGGTGGCTGTAGGGTTGTAGCAAAACACACAGCCTGGTTTTTTTAGAAGCTTAGCAGGCTCACAGAAGTGCAGTGTGATGGCACTGTACTGGATGTGACTTGGTTCCTGTTATTTGGGAGATAACTTATCTTCCAGGTTAGCACTGAAAACAACAACAGAAAACCATCTGAGATTATTCTTAAGGAAAAATCAAAAGCGTTGGAGGAGAATCTCATCTGAGAAGTTGCCCTGGAATCCTGTTAAGCAGGACTTTTTCAGCCACTTGCACATCTCCAGCAGAGGATCGAGAAGTGATTACGTGGTGTTCAGACACTACTAGGAAGCTTTCCCTCCAGGTTTCAGAAGATAGTCATTGAAAATATGATTAAAACTAGGCAGAAATGCCTTTTATGATGTTCTCCAATAAACAATTTTTTAACACCTTCCCTTAAAAGGTATAATTGGTTTAGACAAAAATTCCACAAGATTAAGAAAAAGCAGCTACAAACAATTTTAGATGCCACTTGTGCAGTCAGTGGACACAGATTTTGAAGATAAACAAGATCAGCACCCAAGGCTGAGCAGCAGAACCCCATTTAGCCATTGTATGCCATGCAAACAGCTAATTTAACCAAAGCTTGTAACCTGCATATGTACACAGGGAGCAGATAAGGTTGTGTGTTCTCCCTTACTTTGGCATTTCCTGATGTAAATCATTAATGGCATTGTATGATTGCATGGCATTGAAGCTGCTCATGCTTAGCATTTAGCTGAAAGGTTTTATTGTCATTCTGCTTGCCTGTTAGGGAACTTTATGCGTAATATTTTTCTGGGAAAGGTATATAAAATGAGCCTAAAGGGACTGCAGGACTCTCTTAGCATATTTCCTGGGAAGTGAGGTCTGTGGTTAAGTTGTATGTTTTAAATAAAGTTAACACTGTGTGTACATTGTCTGCAGGCAGATTTCACAGATTTACAGCATTGCAGCGCAGTCATGTTGACAAAAGTGTTCAGACTGCCATAGGCTGGGAGAGGAGTGAAATACTTTTTCCTTTTTTTTGTCAAACTGAACACATTGGGGAACATGAAACACTGCCACTTGGAGCACAGTGTTGTGAGTAGGGCTGGGGGAGAGAGGAAGAGCGGGGATTTTTGCTCATTACTTCTCTGCTGAAAGCTGGATGAGGCTGTCTTACGACATTGATGGTTAAAAGTGGCAGCATCAAAAATAGTCAGCTCGAGCTCAAAACAGTATCTGGCTGGCTTCGATTCGGGTAGGTCCATGGGAACTCTCATGCAGCTTTACTTTTTCCATCAAATTATCTGCCTTGCCTACAGCCATCAGCAGTGCTTGTTCAAGGGGGAAAGTTGGTGGAGGCGGTGAGGCTGACATGGAAATAAAGATGCCAACCCCACAGAGCGAGCAAACCCTTTCTGAATCCACGCAGTCTTGGCATGGATAGAATTCAGATGGAATTGTAGTCTGCCTGTCCTTTATTTTTTACCCATTTGCAACTTGTCAGTTAGACAGTTTTCAGGCCCAAACCACCCAA